GACATATTAAAGGTAGTGGATACCTGTTCTTGATGGTAATCTTGTTGAGTCCTCGATAATCAACACACATCCGCAATGATCCATCTTTTTTCTTCACAAATAGAATTGGAGCTCCTGTCGGAGATTTAGAATGGCATATGAAATTCTTGGCTAGATTTTCTTCAATATACTCCTTGAGTTCAGTCAACTTATTTTGTGATAAACTATATATTGGTCCAAATGGCAGTTGTGCTCCTTCTTGAAGGTCAATTGAACAATCATAGGGACAATGTTCTAAGAGTGTATTCACATCCTTTTTTTCTAATACATCTTGAAATTCTTGATATTGGCTTGGAATGCCACTTGAAGACTTTCCACCAATAGAAATAGGTGTGGCATAAATAATATATGGTGATTCTTTCATAGTCGCATGCAAGAAAGCTTTTACACCTATAAATACGGGTTTAATTGAACTGGACTTATGACTCTCTACTTGATTAACTACACTGTTAGTTATACTTTTAGAAAAAGTGAGAGTTCAAGAAATCCAATCTATTTGAGGGTTGTATTTTTCTAACCACGATAAACCTAAAATGACTAGATTAGAGGGAGATCTAATGATATTAAATACTACAAAACTATTATAACCATTGATTATTACTTCTATAGGAAGGATTTCGTGAGTAATATCTCCAGAAGACAATGGACGACCATCTATGACTTCTATATGAACAGGTTTAATTTTCTTTACTAAAGATATGCTATATCTTTTAGTAAATTCTTCATCTAAAAAATACGCTGAGGCTCTTGAATCTAACATGGCAGAGACTTTCTAATGTTTAGGTCCTAAAATAATATTTAATGTAAAACAAGGAGAAGGCTCTTAGGATAGAATAGGACCTTCATTAGATGTTGTACAAGGTTCTAGCCACATGATCCCTATTGTAGCTGGACAAACTCATTTTCTTACATATTATCTTGTTTCACAACCATACTCCTCATTTTGTGATTGCGTCGATTCTTTGGACAATGTTGAGCAGTGTGCTTTGGTTCTCCACAATATAAACATAATCTTTCTTGACTACGACGAGTCTTTTCTTGTTTAGTAAGAGGTTTGAAACATACTGCATCAATTTGCATATCTTCTACTTTTGAATGTATGTGTTGAAGAGATGTTGGTGTTGCCATTGAATCACAGTAGCGTTGAAGTCACTTGTACACTTCTCAGATCAAAATTCAAAAAGGCGATTGTCGCACTTCACAACAAAACCAATTGCTTGACTCAATGTTTGAGGATCAGATAAGTTGAGCATTAAATTTTTTACCTCATATTGTAATTTGTAGAGAAATTGGCTAATAAGTGCAGCATCACCCCCCTTGATATCAGTTGCAAGTTGTTAAAATTATGAAGTGTACAACGTTACTAATTGATTGCCTTGTCGTAAAATACAGATCTTATTGGTTGCAATAAAAATTGCATCATGTTCTCCATACATGGATCGAAACTCAGCCAAAAAAAAGCCTCTAGATTATCCAATATTGAATCTCGTCGTTCAAAAAAAGATGAAAACCACGATAGTGTTGAACCTGAAAGAAGCGTACCGATGAATCTAACTTGCGATCATGGAATTGGATAGCTTTGGGATTGAAGTTCAATCACAAGTTGTATTTGATTGATAAATCCTCGAAACTTGGACCTCGTGCCATCAAACTTCTCGGGTAGGGCGATTCTTGGTTCTCTAACATTTGAAGGACGTTCCACCATAGGAGAAAGGACATGGTTTGGTGCAGATGTTGAAGCAGCTCCAACCATTTTTATATCTTCACTTCCTGTCAATCTTGTTGCTCCTTGTGGTGGTAAATTGAGTTGATGCATCGCAAGCATTAACTCCCTCAATTGCTCTTGCATTTGTGCCGTTGCACTCTTCATTTCAAGAAATTTTGCCATGATAACACTTAGAAGAGAGAAGATGTCTAATATCGCTCAAGACAAATAGAAGAGAGGACTTGAGAACAAAGAAAATACTAAGGACAATATCAATTTAGAAGAGGGTAATCCGCAACTTCTAATATGCTTATATCTTATCAAAAAAAAAGGGGTAATCCACTCTTAATGAAGATTAGACAAAGCTCTGATATTGTAGGTGTACTCTTGTCAATCTGTCAAGGACAAGAACTCGATGAAAAAATAATTCAGACAAGTGAGCCTTCACTCAAAGAGAGGTAACAAAATATATATAAACAAATATATATATTGAAAGAGAAACTGGAATGGCTATTTCCAAAAGACAAGAAAACTAGAGACCCTTGAAACTAGACTGGAAGCAAGAAAGAAGTTGACAAGAGTGAAGAAGCCTTCACTATTGTCTCTATATATACTATCTAATTAGGGGCTACATGGCGATGTTCTATAGGACCTCTAATATGTGTTGACTTTGTAGGACACATGCCTTGACTTACAAGGTATGTTCTTCTACGTGTAGGCCACATAGTTAGCTTGATCTTCAAGCTATCAATATGTGTGGTACATGGCCAACTTGTTGACCATGTTTCTAATCCAAAAAGTCAATTAAAGATACCTATGAAGTCAAAGCAGTATCTATGAAGCTTCTATGAAGCTTCCATATCAAATACTATAGAATTAACTTATTTTTATCTACTTTTAGTTACTTCTATCTATTTATATATGTAATATCTAGATTATATGAATATATCCGTGACAAATAATTATCTATATGATTAGATAAAAGTAGGTAAAAGTATGTTAATTCCATAATATCTTCTTTAGAAGCTTCTTAAAAGCTATATAGACATTGCTTTGACTTTATAGGTATCTATAATTGATTTTTTAGGTTTAAAACATGGTGAATAAATTAGTCATGTGCCATATATGTTGGTAGCTTGAAGAACAAGCTAATTATGTGGCTCATACATAGAAAACTTATCTTGTAAGTTAAAGTACGTGTCTTACAAAATCAATACATATTAGAAGTCCTTTAAAACATTGCTATGTAGCCCTTAGTTGAATAATATATATAGATGTAAGAATGAAGCCTTCTTCACTCTTGTCAACTTCTTTCTTGCTTTTAGTCTATATTCAAGAGTTTCTAGTTTCCTTGTCTTTTGGCGATAGCTACACCAATTTCTTTTTAATATATATACTTCTTTATTTCTATTTTGTTATACTTTTTTATTTACTTTCATGAAGTTCTTGTCTGTGACAGTTTGAATTATGGAAAAAAAGACAAGAGAGTTGAAGAAGGAAATATAGATGGTACTTCAAATAGAGCTTAAAGTAAAATTACAAATGGAACTATAAGACTCGACCATATACCATGAATATTGCTGTTTTCTAAAATTTATGTTAGATCCATTAAAAGATATAATTTTTTGAATATTTAAGAATTATATATTAATTTTTATTTTATTTTATTTTATTTTAATAATTATTAAAATAAAGATGTGAATTACTATATTAAGAATTATGATAAAAAATATTATAATCCTTATAATAGTCTATTTTTTATATATATTATTTTTAAAAGCCAAGGCTTTGAAAAATGTATGTATCTTTACAAAGTGCAAGATCTTCATAAGACTTTTGAAAGTAGACATATACATTTAAAAATCTTGTCAATCTTTTTAAACTTGAAAAAATGTTTCATACTCAAGTCAAAAAAAATACCTTACTTTCTTATTATTATTGATTATTTTATTAACTTATTAACTTAAATTAACTTAAAGATTAATAAAATACTACTACATGATGTGCATTTAGATTTATAAGAAAGCAATAAGAAAAATAAAAGATAGAACATAAAAAAAAGACAAGTTTTTTGTGAATTGTTAAACAAATCATTTTCTTAGAAGTATCCACTTTTAAAATCAGTATTATTTATTTATTTTTTGAAATAAAAAAATTCAATAACTCCAAAAATTGTTGAAAATTACCTTAAGGCCAATCCACAAGAAGAAGATTATGCCACAAGCATCTTTTGGAAGAAAACATTTCAACTTGTTTTCTTTCTTTGATACCTAGTAGCCAATTATCGTGTGCAATGATAGAAATTAGTCAAGTTTAAATATAAATTCTGAAGAAAAAAAATTTATGATTTAACTAAAAAATTATCAGAAATTTTATATTATCTGAAAGATAAAAAAAAATCTATAAATGAAATCTATTTATTGATAAATAAAACGTAATTTATTACCTTTGATTGCAACAAATTTGGAGTTTTTTTGTTATATTTTTTTTAATTTTTATAAAAATAAATAAATTTATTTATAATATGAAATATATACAATTAAAAAAATATTATTAAAGAAAAATTTAAAATTTAAACATATCTAAAACCTTTAAATGGTTTTTTAAAGTAGTTGATTGAAATCTCTAACTAAATAGAAGCCAAGATTTTTATCTTTTATTTTTTTTGTAGAGCTTTTAATATTTTATTTTTTCAACAACAACAGACAAATGAACAATAACCATGTAACTTTTGAAAATCATGCAATCTTCTAATTGTCATGAATAGCATATATGACACAATACATACCATGAAGATAGACCAATCCATAATACAAGATTCTTCATCTAACAAGCCATGTAGATTTTATTTGAATTAAGCTCAAAAGTAGACATAAATTCAAAGAGTGAAATGCAGCAATGATAATGCTTGTGTAATACTCTTGCTTTTTTGATTTTTCAAATCATTGTGAGCTTGAGCATACTAATTTACTCGCCCATGTCTATACTCTAAAATAATGAATCCGCAAGACGAACATTCTCTAATTAGAATATAAACATCCTTCAATTGTAGTAAAAGAATGATTATCAAAGCACAAGTCCTCGCAAGCAACATTAGTTCTACCACTTACTGCACCTCACACAATCCGACAATATTTACAAGTCTATTGATCCATCCCATGACTGCAGTAAATTTGAGGTTTTAGACAAAAAAAAATTATTGTGTTAATTGTATGGAATGTGTTGTGTCATTGAAAGGTAGTCACTTCTGATGTAGATGTAAGACCAGCAAAGTTAGAAAATTCTATTCTGTGCTTCAATGCTTTGCCACAACAGTCCAACCATTCAATTGATAATTGGCAGCAGGTAATACCCAGCGAAGATGAGTTACCAACAAAGAAGGAAAATGCAACTGAAGTGTACAAATTTGTTGCGCCCATCTTTTAGGCTCCGTCGTAATTTAAACACTAAGTTTGTAGCTATTGTGGATAATTAACTGTCAAGATTAATAATGAAACTTTAATTTTGTCAGAAGAGGATTAATGATGAAACTTTAATTTTGTCAGAAGAGGCCCAAGAAAATAAAATCAAAAGTGGTAAAACAAAGCTAGGTTCTAAAACCTGAAAATATGATCCCAGTTGTAAAAGACGTCTTACTTCCTGCAAATTTAATCGGTGCAGTCTCCAAGTTGTCATGCAGGGCATCAACCTCAGAGTTCTACGACCTAGAGTGAATGTTCAATAAAAATCTCAAATCGCATCTTCAGAACGAGTACAGTAGGCTGCATACGAGAACTCTAAAACTTACACGAATGAGTCAGCCATGATGAGCATAAGAATCAGTGCATCCGATTTACACTACATTCTAATATAATTCCACAACAGATGTGCTATATGACATATCCTCCAATATAACCACTGTATCTGAAGTTCAATTGAGATTAGACCTAATTTGGCGATGTATGATTGCCGCAAAGCAACTACATTAGATTACTCACCATTTACTTGTGATTACTCAAGTTATTCAATTCAAAAATACTCACATCATTATGGTTCTTCTTGCACTATCTTCTGGCAACATACAGAACCTAGTTGCATTTAAATGCCTACAATTCATCTGCACTAATTGTGTCATGAGACCAATCATAAATCTCCCTCAATTTATCTCCATGCTTGCCGGATTGTCTTGCGACCTCCTTACCTTCGTCTTCTGTTTCTATTGCCAACCTCATAAAGAAATCACAAGAAACATTTCCATGCATAGAGAAAATGCTTTGCTGGTAGACGGTCTTCAGTGATCCAACAGCTCCAGGAATGACGCTAATCCGAAAAAGTGTGAAAGATTTTCCCAAGGCGTAACACAACGGCAACCCGTTGTAATAGTGGTGTATTTAATCGAGCTGACACTCCATGTGAATAACACGGTTTAATTACATCAGTAGAGTTGGCAGCGCAAGCCGCATACAGCACAAGATTAAAGAGCACGTTCTCCGACGACTGACCAACCCTGCTGTTCAGCAGAATTACGCTCCAAAATGCTATTAACCGGGGAGAATCGGCAGCAATGCACATGGAAACCGACTCAATTCCAAAATCTCTGATTTGAATTTGAAATCTAGCGATCATATCCACATTGGTCGATCGAAGAAACAATCACCAGACAGCAACTGAGACGACAACAATTACTATTGGTAACACCGACGTAGAGCTAAATCTAAGTTTGTTAATTTTTAAATTTTTCTTGAAACCTGACTTAACTGCAGCAATGAGCAGAGATGCTCTTCGGTATGCTATTGGGATTCTTTCTTGAAACCTGACTTAACTGCTCCCGCACATCTCTGCTCATTGCTGCAGTTCCCAAATTATTAACAAAATTGATCCAAAAGGAATGCCTTGCAAAATAATCACTTGGGCTTGCCAAGAATTTAATTAAAGCCACATCCACCTTCTTAGTCCTCTGCGCAATATTCAGAGTGCCCTCCATTGTGACCACTCCCGCCCTCACAGAAGACGCAAGATACAGCAACCCCAGAAATAACCCAACATGCCAAAGCACTGTAGTGTCACCGGCGTCTACTACGACACACAAATTGAGCCTGCGTATCACTCCTACGATCGCAGCATCGCCATAACCAGGCCATAATCACCAAACAGGGGCCTGCGAAATCCTAACACTCTTCCCCGGCAATGATCCCGACTGGATGGGTTCTTGTCCCAGCTCCGGCCCGAGCCTAAGGCTCGAGCCTGGTGGTTGGGAGTCGGTTCCATTGGCGTGATCCTGAGGCTCGGATCGAGACTGCAGGTTCGTTAGAAAGGCAAATTGTTGATGTTATTCACAGGAAGCAGTGCGGCTTTCCTCGCCGAGTCAAGCTCTTTTTGTGGATTCTCGATTCCATTTTCTGGTTGAATGCATCATTGACCGGAGAATATGAATGATTTGAAACTGAACCCATCAAAGAAAATCGCGGGAAACCTCCCACACTGATTCATATTGAGTCTAAAGAACACGCGCAGATGTTTCTGATCAACGAAAACAGGCACAGCAGTGGGATTGATGCTTGGGTTTGTGGAAGCGGTGACACAGATTGGGCACTGAGTGGGCACTTGCTTGATTCTGTTTCATGCTTGAGATTCGGTGTTTCTTTTCTATGATTTGTATTCACTGAGATGGTTAACTAGTTTCTCCTATGAATTTCTGGGTCTCACAGTGCTCACTCCTAACATCATGTATGTATGTATCAAGAATGCGCCAGATGGACACGGATTGTCAATGTCAAGAAGGAATTGAAGTCGAGGATGTGTCGACTGACCGCAGGTCTACTGTCTTAAGTCCAGCATTTGATTTGCTTTGCAGCAAAATTACAACAACAACATTTCCTGTGATGTCACAAAAATTATGACTGAAGCATATATCTAATAATAAATTATGACTGAAGCATGTATCTAAATAATAATAATAATTTTTATTATTCTATTATCTCACAAACCTTCTTTTGAATAAAAAGACAACTAGAGTAAGCTGAGTTTATTACTATTCCAGAAAATCAAAACTAAGTAAAATTGTCAAGTATTTACTACCAATTGATTATTTTTAAGGTTATTCTTATAATTGTCAAATTAAGGCATGTTGAAGGTGTTTTAGATATTAGAAAATATTTATTTATTTATATGTATATATATATATATATATATATATATATATATTAGAAAAAATACTATTAGATTAGCATTAAGAAAAACTAACTAACCAAGAAACTTCTATCTAAAATAACAATTTTTGTCATCTTTTGCTTATCTAAATATGACAATTATTAGTTTATCAAAAACCTTTTTAAAATAGCTTCAACAATACCAAAATATTCAAAATATATATATATATATATATATATATATGAATAATTAACTTAATATACATATATTATTTAAAATTTATAAAAACCATGTTTTATTAATTTTATTGTATATAGTTGAATTTTTTTTATTTTATGATTTTTTATTGTTAATTTTAATTAAGTCATTTTTTTGGAATTCTAAGATAAAGAAAGTGTAAAAGTTTTATTTTTATAGTTGATTTTGATAATATTCTATATATCTTAAATATCACTTTAAAATTTTTGTTGTCAATATTTTTTAATTTGATATATGACATTCTTTAAATAAGATGATTTATAATAAGAATACAATACTATAAAAATTATATCATAATACAAACTCCTTGTGAACCAAAAGATAAACAAACATTTAGCTTAGAAGTTGATACAAATAAAGATGAGATGGATACATGTTTTGTTCTTCTATTATAAAAACATTTGAACAAATTTTTCTTTAAAATATAAAATATTTAATCTTATTTTCTTTTATGTAACTATGAAGATTTTTAAAGAGCTAAAAATCATTATTTGTGTTATTCTCTACAATTAGTTTATTTTTTTTATAAATATTAAAAAATATATAAATAAATATTTTATATATTAGTTTGATTTAAATTTAGACCAATTCAAACAAATAATGTGGTATTGATCCTTTTGGATGATGAAAGAATACTATGCATTGGAGTCTTATATTAAATATGTATATATATTATTTTATGTAACAATTTTATGAAAAGTATGAAAATTCTTAAATTCTAATTTTTTTGTAGAAAGCACAAAGTGTTTTAAGTTAGACTTACAATGCAATATATGCTTATTGTAGAAGGACATTATTGTAATTACAGAAGGACAAATATGATGGATCAAAATGAAATATAGTATAACAATTGTATGCAATAAACAAAGAGGTATATATAGCCTAATCCAAGGAGACTTAGCAATGATACTAGCAATGGAATCAATACTACATAATCAAAGGTGTAAATGCTAGAAGAAGCATACATCAAAAAGAAGGAGGAGAATTAACTACACAATAAGAAAGTAAGTGAAGAATAGAAAGGTTACAACTTTTTTATCATGAATTGCTTAAGGATATTATATTGCATAAGGTGACTCAATTTGCATCAAGATTTTGAAGAACTCTTTTTAAGATTTTAAAAGTGGATATGAAGCTCTTTTGACTTATCATCCTCAAACTAATGGACAAACTAAACGAATTAATCAAATTTTCGAACAGTATTTTGAGATGTACCATCAACTATTATCAAGATGATTGGACAATTCTTTTGTCATTGGCAGAGTTTGCATATAATAATTTGGTACATTCTTTTGTTCAACGAATACTTTTCTTTGCCAATTATGATTTTCATCCATGATTTGATTCTTTTGACTTTTCAAAAGTTGATAATCTTATTGTAGAAGATTTAGCAAACTGTTTATCAAAGCTACATGTAACAATGAATGCACAATTAAAGAAAGTTTAAGAATGACAAAAAATCAATGTGAATGCATATTAATTATATCTACTAGAGTCTATGAAGATCCATCTCAAATTCTACATATCTCTTCTTTAGCCATAAAAAATAATGAATATCTCCAGAAGAAGAAGAATGCTACATCCTTTTATAAAAGTGGATAATAATCAAGTATCATGGACAAATTATCATGAATATACTTACTTTGGTAGTTACCTATATGATTAGGTACAAGTATGTAAAAGTAGATATAAGTAGATTAATTTCATAATATCTTCTAAAAAAGCTTTTTAGAAGCTTCATAGATACAATTTTAACTTTACACATATTTATAGTTGATTTTAAGATTAGAAACTTGGTCAAAAATTTAGCCATGTGTCACATGTGTAGATAGCTTGCAGAACAAGCTAACTATGTGGCGTACACATTGAAAACTTGTCTTGTAAGTTAAGATATGTCACTTGCAAAGTCAATACATGTTAGAGGTCCTATAGATTCCAAGAAGATAGTATATATATAGAGGTAAGAATGAAGCCTTCTTTATTCTTATCAATTCTTTTTTTGCTTGTAGTTTGATTTCAAGAGTCTCTAGTTTTCTTAT